TCATTTCATTTTCCATTTAAGTCCTAACTTTTGTCTACAATGATGACTCCTCCTTAAGCTATCAAAAGACTAGGTCATATGTTGAAAGAGTGCAAGTACAGAGATCAGAGAAGAAACCAGATGGCCAAAAAGTTGGAATGAACTCTAGTTCAGTGCTTAGAAAAAGGCATACCGACTAGCATTGTTGCTGTCTACAAATTCCACAGATTGTTTTAGTTGAGTCATCTACAAATAGGGAAATTCTAATATTTATGTGGTGACTTTCTATATGAACATTTATGTAGCTAGTTTTCAGTTGACAAGACTGCTATAAAACAAAAAGGTGGACAGCAGGCAAGTGGTGACAGTAGTCAAATAGCACAATCAGTTAAAAAAGCCCTGTATATTAGATATATGAATTGGTTACATGCAGAGATGATAAACATAAACATGTCTCTGTCTTGCTGGAGGTGCTTGTACGGGGAAGCTAAGTATGTTATGATGAGGTTTCAGAGCATACTTGCTCTATTTACATGGGCAGCAATATGTGATCTTGATAGACTGGCACTTAAAATTTGCATTATATTCCCCTTTGAGAAGGACTAAGGTATCAGAGAGTCTTCCTGCATATTTTAGAAGAATCTGTAAGCCCAAATGACCTTCTGACTTCATACACATTGAGGATGCATTATCATGGATCGCAGCCTTACAGAAATCACGACAACCTCTGTGGTGCTGAAAAGGTCTCTAGATTGAGGTGGCTGCCAGGAGATTGAGCAGTAAAGAATATAGCCGCTCTGAAGGGCTAAGGGTTGAGTTACATGGAGTACTGCAGGGGTTAAACTCCATGGCATATTCCCAGCTGATGTGTAGATGAACTTGTACCATGGGGGTTTGTTGATCAGCATGCGCCTGCAGGATGCTTAGCCACTATTCGGTAAACTTCACAATTTTCAGTAAACGACAGTCAGTTGCTTTGTACTGAGTTGATAAAAGAACCCTTGCAATATCCAAAACTAAAATTAAAACCAAATATAATTTGGACATCTTAGCGTCTGATGTGTGTCCCAGTGAAGGCGTTATTTATCAGGCATCCTTACGGACCACCCTTAGCCTAAGTGATACCGAGTACCCCGTAAGATCATGAAGAAAAGAAGTTTGGAGTACGTTCAGAGACAAATAGATGGCAAATATTTATGTGGATTACAAAAGAGAAATATAAGACTTTTACAATATAAGAGAAATATGGCATTATATAAGCCTACCAGATGTTGAAAGACACTAGTGCTTAATGCATTGGAGAAGAGGTGAACAAATAGTTTGTCCTTTTGGAATACTGCTGCAGCAATGTGTTCCAAGGACAGAGACTTCACAAGCTAAGTGCTGTCCATTGAATTAGCTTCCATCTCGACCTTATTGAGGTATATGAAGTATATTAATAGTCTACAAATATGCTGGTAATTTAAGTGATAAATGTTGATAAGTACTTTTCTCCTTCTTGCCTAAGCTTTACTCAAAGTCTTCCATTAAAATATATAATTGAGTATCTAGACAGTTGCATTTTGATTTGCATCTCTTGCGAAAACAATATATCTTTCAGATTAGACTTTCACGCATTACTTTTACTAATAATGTTTTAAATTAAAAGACTGCTTCCATCAGAATAATGAAGCAAGATAGCCGAGAAAATAGCTATGTGCCTGAGCACAGAAATTTATTAAAGTAAGAAAAATCCATGAAACAGTGATGATAATGAGAAAAGTATTGAGCCTCAAAGTCAACAGTACTGAAAATAGAGACTGCATTTAGGGCTTATTGCATGGGAGGGGCTGCTTCTTCAGAGATCTTTCTCTTTTTTTTAAATTCCGAGAAATCAAGGAAAATTATGGCAACTTTTACATTGCCAAAGGCATAAAGAATTTTACTAGCACAAACACTGTCCCTGATAGTGCTATAAGGAACAGTCCTTTATTTTACTTACACAAGTATTAGTATGAATGATTTCTCTTCTTCAAATACTAAGAAACATAAGATTATTTAATAATAATGAATACACTGCTTAAAGAAGCAATTTAATGTAATCAAGATACTCTAATTTCCCTCCTGATTTCTATTTAGAGTGGCAGATAGTATATGTGTTACTTATATTTATCTTAGACATAAGTTGTTTTTATAAAGCCTTTTTAACAAAATAAATATTTGAAAAGGTGCTGTCTTCGTCATGAAAATATTTTTACCTTCCCCAGAATATAAGGAAGTCACATAGCAAGCTCTGATGAGACACATACTCGCCTGTCAGTTGCATTCCCTTTTCCTCCTTTTGTTATTTCTTCAACAAGTCAAGCCAGTATTAAACAAAAAGTGGCCCTAACGTAACAGTAGTACCTGCCTGATACTTCTCTGCATCCTGGCTGTCTGCTGAGCTGTGCTGCTGCTCTTGATGGGCTGTGGGAAGTCAAAACTACAGAGAGGGCTTACGGGAGCAGCTGACACTCTGCATACATACAGCCAGAGCCAAGTTTTATAATTCTGATATCTGACTCCATTGACTCCTGTGACTATTGAAAGACAAAAGGTTCTGCCTGGGACAGAGCAACCCTTTGCTGCTGGGGCACAGATGGTATCAAAGTGTTTTATATGACACAAATGGTTACAAAATGTTCAGTGCACTAAAGTGTGCTGTCAAGACCTGTTTTCTTTAAGCTGCCAGTCTGTCATTGTCTTTTGGAAACTAGCATGCAGGCAACAAGCCCATTTCCATCAAGAAAAGGGGAAAAAAATATATCCCTGTTTATACTTCCATTTTCTGCTACTGGGTAATTTCTCTCTATAATGTCACCCCAGGTATTGTAGGAGAATTAATGAATAGTGAAAATTTCTCTTGTACTAAATACAAAACAGGAAATAGTAAGAAAGAAAGTAGGTTTTAAAAATGGTAGGAGAAAAGCAGAGAGAAGCTTTCAAACCAAACAGTTCCCACACCTGAATCTGATGAATTTACCACATACAGTTTCTGTATTATGGGCACAGCCGTGCTGAGAGGCATTAAGCCCCTACCTGCAGTTGGCTCAGACACTGCTAACTCTCATAGCTGAACCCAAGTATGGACCAGAACATATGTTTTGTGCAGCCTAGCACACAACTCACAGGCTAAAACTCTGGTAGAGACAAAAAGCATCATCTACCTTGCTGTTTTCCTGAAGCCTTGACAGTTATTCTGACTTGCTATGTAAGTGTCATTACAGAAATTTCTCCTGATTTACAATTCATCCTTTAATCCCCTATTTAAAAGCTAAAGTAGGCAGCAATGCGGTGAGGTCACAGACCGGAAGAGCTCCCATTTAGCATATACCTCCAGTACCTGGTTCATACATCCTCTAATTTAGCAGTTAGAGGAATTCTTTGCCAAGGTAAAATCCAGCTTCGGAAGTATAAAATTGTACAAGTTTGGTAACTTTGTCTGCCTTTCTGTATGTGTTCTTTGTGGCAGCACGAAAGGCTTATAAAGGTTGAAAATGGCCTGTATTCTGACCTGTTTTTCACTAAAATCTCTATGTTTCATTAAGATTATTGTGAAACAAATTATTTGCATCAACTTTGCAATTACCTAATGACTTAATTGTTGTTGTTTTGCAAGCATAGCAACCTTGTCTCAGTGTGAACAAGAATTTCAAAGTGCACCTTGCTGGATCTTTCAGACATCAAGACTGTGGACACAATCCTGAGATGCTAGGACTGAACTTGTGTAGATACAAGTGAGTGTAAGGAGTATGGAACATGTGGAAACGTCAGCCTTGAGGGTCTGTTTCTTTTTCTAGCAGAAATGTAATGAGAGTAAATACCCCTGAAAGAATATCTTTGGATATTGAATGGTGGCACATTTCTCTACTCCCATACACAATTTTCAGGTCTGCTGATGAGCAATCTTACTTCCTCTGCATTTGCTCAGACAACAGCCTACTGAAGATTTTAATTTGCTTCTTGTTACTTTATTATCCAGATGTCTCAATATTAAATGTTTTGTCTCCTGATACTGTTGCAGGAAGTTCTACCCTTCTGTTTTAAAATATTTTTGTTTTCAAGCTTGTTTTAAGTGCCTTATGAATTGCTATCATTAAGATGTTGTATTTGAATCACTATAGGAAACAAGGATTTGGGGATTTCACCTTCGTTGTCAAATATCTACAATTATGTGCTATGGGAAAAGTCACTTCTTTCCAAAACTGCACACAGCAAAAACAGAAACAAAAACAAGCATGCAGTTGCATGAAAGGACCACAGGCCAAAAGCAAGACAAATCTTCTCACAAAATATCTTTGTGATGAGCTAACACCAAAAGATTTTCGGTTCAGCTAGGCACAGAGAAATTTGGTTAAACAAAGTAATGAGTGCTGCTGTGCTTTTCATCTTCAAAATGTCTTACAAAGGTTAAGTCTTTGAAATATATCTGTGAAATGAAGCGTTATATTGCCACTGTTTGGTTGGTTTTTTTTTTCCCCCCAGTTGAAGTGGATGTGAGATTTTAAATGCCCAAAGCTGTGGAGAAGGTTGGCCAGATCTTGGACTGCAGACTAAGCTTCTCTTGCTGTACCTGAACTTCACAGACTGTGCTGGACATTCATCATTTGTTCAATTGTCCCTCCATCAGCCACTGCCCTCCTTTTCTCAAACCAATTGTTCTTTTCGACATCTTTTCCCTGGCAGCTCTGCAGCTTTCCATTGCACTGTATATATTCAGATTGCTCAGTTAAGCCTGCAATAACCCTGTAGGTCAACCCTCACCTGACTATGTTTGCACCCTCTATTACTCTAGGCTTTTCACAGTGCAGAGTTTTCTCTCATCCTGCACTACTTTAAAGAAAAGTCAATATCATAGAGCTCAGCAAAACTCTCTATTAAATGTACTTTGCAGAACCCCTATGGAAGACCCAACTAAATGAAATTGAGAATCTTTAAATTAGGTATATCACTCATAAATGCACATCTAGAACCTCTGTGTATGAGGGTAGAAAGCAACTCACCATCTCCTGTGTTTGGAATAGCCTTGAAAAAACTGCCTCTGTGCCAGTAAGCCTGGGGATTGGGCTGGAATTAGGAATTAAATCACCCTTAGCAACACCAGATACTGCCAAAAACCTGCAAGAGAGCAAAAAATCATCAATAGAGACTCTGTAAGTGACAATGAAAGATCGCTACTTCTGGGGAAGGAAAAGACCTTTCAGAAGGCCTAAACTGTAATTTGTAGGATCTCTTCAGATATCCGGGGATGATTCTTTAAAAGCTTGGAGGCCAGCATCAGAAAAAGCCCACAGAGTTCATGTAAGAATATAGCTGGTAATATCTGAAATTCTTTGTAACAAGCTAATGACCAGCAAAAACCTTGCAGGATTTGACACTCAAGAAATTGGCTCCACTTGAGGAACTCACAGAATTGAAAAATCTGACCTGGACTTTTCTGAAACTAAATGGTCAGTAAAAGGAAAAGAAAACCTGTGCTGTTTAGCGAAGCTAGTAGTTTTAGCGTATCTCATGCTATGAGCACCGGAGTACATCTGTGAGGTGCTATAGTGAACTCCTAGTGACTGCAGTGGGAGCCCAAGGCACTTGGCATTTTGCAGCGTTATGTCATGTTGTTAAGCTAAGGACATAAATGTGCTAGAGTGTGTTCACTTTGAACTTCAAGGCATTGTTTCTTGCTTTATCAAAATATTAAAGATTTTTCTCCCCAGTTACCACTGTGTCACAATAAGCAACTACCTAAAAAATAAATGTATCTGAAAAGAGTATGCACTGTGAAAAAAAGAAATATAGCATTCTACCAAGAATAGGCTGCTTTAAATTTAAATATATATTCTTTAAGTGGCTAATGTGCTTAAAATGTGGAAAATCAGATATCAAAGGCAGTTTTTGTTTCAAAGCAGAAGAGCAGTCAGTAAGAAAAATGAACAAAATCAAGACAAAGTAATGAAATTAGGAAATCTCATTGAATTTCTGGAAAAAAAGAATAAAAACTATTAATTTTTCACACATTATTGAATAATATGGTTATTTATCCAGAATATAATTATACTAACATTTGCCTGTGACTTGGTACCAGATGAGTTTTTGGAGCTCAAAGCTGTCTAGGAGGGCAGGTTTTTGGTTACAGACTTACTTGCTGTATCATCTACTTGACATTATGGCCTAGGCTAGCATAGTCAGTGATGTGTTTTTTTGAGGTTGCCAGTGCATATTTGGGAAGTTCAGGTTTTGTTATTGCTAAAGGAAGGGCAAAGGGAGGCACCCAGCACATCACGAGTTGTAACATCAGTCCTGTATGTGTTGAGCAAATCTGAAAAAGTAAAAGCTGTTAATACTTTTGTACCCATGCCACTGGTAGATGTAAGACTTACATTTTTCAAAAATTAGTCGCCTGCTCAGTACAGAGCATTAACCTTCAAAATGTAACTTATTGGCAGTAATAATAAAGTTTAAATAGTAAAATGAGTACCCGTGCTCTCTTTCCCTGCCCTCCTTTGCAATGCAGATTTCTCTATCTCTCGGCAAGGACAGAAGGTAGAATGACCAGCATGACCTACTGCAGGAATATGCAGCACTCAAGACATGAATAATGATGTACTTAGCTGTATCTCGTTAAGCATCCAACAGATGATCAGCAACAGCTGATCAAGGCGAAGGCACAATAGCTCTCTTCTCTGGTTTTGCTTGGAAGTTGTTAGCGCAACTGTTGTCTGCATCCTCCTCTCTCAACATGTGCCATCCAATGTGGCAAAACTGTGCTCTGTGCAAGAAAGCAAGAGTGCACAAGAGCCAGGATAACTGTCCATCTTAAGGGGTGGAGGGAAGGGAAGTTGGCTTTAGTTCCTCTTTGAGATCTGGTGCGCTATGTTTCATTCCAAGATAAGAAATTATAGGTATCAGAATATCTAGGTAGCACTTACATGCCTCAGAGACTTTGTTTGGCTTTTTTAGACATGTAAGAAGGCTCCATTTCTGGACAAACTCGAGGTCCTTTTCATACATGTCTTTTCTTTTCCATCCTCCTTTCCTTCCAGCTTCTGAACCTTCACCATTTCATCCTCATCTCAACTGTGTTTGCAAGCATCTGGCTCTTTGCACTCAGGCCCTTCCTAATTGCGCTCCTTTTTTTCTCTCCTGGCCCTCTAATGCAAAAAGGAATATTTCTGAAATGTGTGTGCTTATATAGTCAAGAATTTCACTGTTGGCATGCCATCCAATGACTTCATTCTTGTCCAAACAGGGATAGAGTGTCCTCTGAAGGGGATCTAGAGGCCACCTGGGTGCTTAGATCACCATTTGCACCTTGTTATCTATCTTGGAGTGCTGCCAGGCATTCCTGTGCAGGCAGATTTGCAAGCTGCCCAGAAACTGTTGTGAAGACCTTGTCTGGATGGGAAGAGGTATGGATGTGGAAGTCTTTGTTGATGATATAGCAGGATGGATGTAGCTGGTTTACCTCCCATCATTTTCAACTTAATTAAAAAGTAAGTACCCTGGACCTAGAGGTTCAGCACAGGAACCGAACAGATGTCTCCAAGGAGAATCCTACATAGCCAGCAGGTAAAGTTCATATGGAATTATGTTTTCTTTTAGCTTTCCAAGAAGAGTCACAAAAAACAGGTGGTGTTCAATCAATAACTGAGGCTGGTTTTATAATAATTATTACTATAAACTGAGAACAGAGAAGAAGACATTACAGAACTACAGAAATAAGGACTCTTGGAACCACTGATAAGTAATTTACAACTAGGGTAATTTTTGTTATGGCAGAACATCCCCAGTTAAAGGGGAAAAAATTAAGAAGTTGCCCCAAATCCTATGAACTCACTGATTTGTTTAATAAACAGAACCCAAGCTGTTAACAGATGAATGAGGTTGCTTTATACATATGAGGACTTAATATTTCTAAACATAAACAAACCTCTCTTTACCCAATATAAAATTATGTCACATCTGCTCAGAATCCCAATTTCAGTTTATGTATGGCAGCAACTACCTTCAGGAAGGTAGTCCAGCAAGAAGTAATTCTGGACTTGCCTCCATCTCTGAAGCACATTTATTGGTTCCATCACTTCTCAAGCCTCAGATTTTTCCCACTTCAAGTCTGAAAATTTATTATGTCAGGGTGAAGTCTCCCAGTAACCAAAAAGCAGAACTATCAATTCCAGCCCTTCTTTCCTAGGAAAGACATTGATATTATGAGGTTTTGTGGAAAACAATGGAAAAAGTCTTGTGAAATGTGTGGAATATGAGGGCAAGGGGTTTTTGTGGTTAAAAACAGTATCTGCAATAATTCTATGATAAGACTAAAAGTGACTTTCTTACTTTGTGGAGGATGCTAAATACAGCTTTTTAAATGGTATCTTGTGCTAAGATAATTATGAGAAAAAAACAGCTTTAAATGAATCTGACAGCTGTTTTAAAAGCTCAACTGGCAGCACCATTTGCTACAGTGCAGAAGACCTTGGTTCAGAATCACATACAAATTTTTGTCTTCTCAAAAGCCAGCAGGAACAGGAGGTGGCATAAAGAAAATGACAGCCTTACTGCAAAGGCAAACAGAAATCTATCTGTGGTCTTGAGCTGAGTTTGTGTTTCCTGTATAAAAGGGACAAGGAGTTAAAACTACGTAATACTTCCCAGAATGGCTTGATGTCCATAGTTGGATGAGAATTCTCTTTTTCTCTAAGTTTACAGTGGCTGCATTGGATGTGCCAGAAAATGATGGATCAGTACAGTCCTATAAATCCCAAACACATATGTACTATAGCTTTTCAAAAATAACTTACAAAATGGCCTTCCAAGGAGAAGAAAAGTCCACAACAATGACAGCACACTGACAGTGCAGTAAGGCATTTGTTATTCCGACTGCAGGGGTTGACAATGGCCAGAGGGCAAATGCATAAAATAGGAAGGAAAAGCCTATGCTCAAATGTCAAAAATTCCCTGCCAAAAAAGGAAGAAAAAGAAATATTCTCAAAATGTGTTTACTCTGTATAGGCATAATAATAGTAATAAAAAAAGATAATTTATCCGAGCACAGTAAGTATTTCTGAGCTTGAAGCTGAGGATGCAGCATTACATAATATCATCTGTGTATAAATAAATTATTTCTTTCAAGTATTAATTGCCATGAAATTAAAAGAAATCTTTGCCATCTAAGGGTGAAGAAGCTGGCAGTAAAAATGAAAATGAACAGTAAGTGAAGGGTTAAATATGTAGGACGTTTGTCTTTGTAAGTAATTTTTATTGACAATTTTTAAGCTACCATTCAATTCTAGAAACAAATCTGATTATTATCATTATTTCTTTTATTACCTAAAGAGGATAATATCTACTCACAAGTACAACCACTTCTATATGAAATTAATTTTTCAGGCATAAATTGCACCCTCAAACAAGATCTCAATCCCACAAAAGAACAGCAATAAATTGAAGGCCCACTTCTTTTTGAAGTTTTTTAGTTCTAAACAAACCTTCCTATGCAGTCTGGCTGCTTTTTATTTTCAGTTCTTTCTTCTTTGTTATTGAGTGCTTTTCTAAGAAAGAAGGATTTTTGTTCTGAGTTCTTCTTCCCCTGATATTTCCCATATGAATCTACAATCCTCTGATAGCTTGTATGAAGAGGATTAGAACATGTCATCACTAATTGCAGATGAGGATTTAAAGCAAGGATGGGCAGGAGCAGTAGAAAGATGAGGTTGCCAGAGCTGTCTTGATTCAGACCATGTGGATGCTTTGCCTCTACCTCTGCTGCTCCAGGAAGTTAGCCTGGCTTCCACATCTGTCCTCATCTTATACAAGGGAAAATTGGTTTTTGTTGAACATGATGAAAGACTAATTTTTCTGCTGAAAGACTGATTCCATTATTGTACATTGTTCCTAAAGAACCATTTCTACCATGAGGACTACACATAAAAAATGCCAGATTTTAATTGTGGGATTATATCTTCCTTCCTCCTCCACATTTTTTTTTTGTTGTTTCTGTTAGACTGTAAGCTTTTGAGTACTGTCATTGTATCTTCACATATACCAGAAAAGTTCTTCCTGTGATTGTGGAAATTGTAATGGTAAAATACGCAAGCCCTAACCATCTGCAAACGTTACTGTTGCTT